ACTCAGAGATTCCCAGGGAGACTGCTGCAACTGAATCTCATAGCATTTTGAAAGGAGCCATTTTCATACAAATCTGGAAAGCGCTTTTGCTATCTCTGCTTAGTCACCAGCCTGAAGCACGCTCTGGTACACACACATGTGTGTATGTGTGTGTGTGACAGCGTGTGTGTGTGTGTGTGTGTGTGTGCGCGCGTGCATGCATGCATGAGGGGAGGGGCAGAATGCAAGTGCTCAGGGCCTGTGCTGAGCTCTGCAGTGCCAACTGGCATCAGGAAGGGACATATGCAAAATCACATTCCACATGGCCTCTAAATTTAGATAAGCTGTCAATATCCTGCACTAGAGAGGCCTTCTTTCTCCATGCTCTGGTTTAAAGGCTTAAAAATGGAAGCCAAGTTTAGCCCATTTGAAAGCACAGGCTGTTGATGGCGCTGTCCAGAAGGGTGTCAAACAGCAGCGTGTGCTATCAATTGCATCCCACCAGCCTCGTGGGAGCAGGGGCTCAGGTTCAGTCCCCTCGTCTCTTCAAACCTGCAGATATAGAAGAACAGACATAGAAGCAAAATGGTCCTTAGAGTTCCCTTTTCTTTCTGCTCGCTCTGCTCTTCAGGAGCCACTACTTGGCCAATAAACTTTAAGAGTCAAGGTCAGCCGAAGTTGGGCACAGAAGGAAACCCAGATTCCGTATTTTGTATTGGGGGGAGAGAGAGGGAGTGCTGGAGATGAAGAGAGGCTTCGTCAGCACCATAAGGCTCAGAAAGGCTGTGACAAAAGATTTAAGCAACCCTGTACCTTAAAGATGTTCTCAGGAGCAGACCGGTGGCTGAAGAGGATCACAAGTTAACCTCGAGCACCTCCTCTACTCACTTCAACCCATCAGAAATCCAGTAATCATTGCTCTATTTTTTTTCCACTGTCCTATTTATTCTTATTGCCCTATTTTTTTTCATTATTTTAAAATTATTTTTACATATCAGTAGGGAATTTAAAAGTAAAATATGAGTAGGACAGAAATTCACTTTTTGGATTCCCTTGTCTATTTAATCCCCAAGCAGAATGTATGCCTTACCATAAAAAGGTATCAGTTTCCTCATTAAGCCCCTTCCTGTAAAATAGGGCTTTTAATAGTATCTACCCCATCAGGCTACTGTGAGAATTAAGTGTGTTAAGACATGTAAAACATTTGTAACAGCTCCTACGCTTTCACTCAATAAATGCCAGCTATAAGTACTAAAACGATGCTAGCAAGTCAAATGAGCAGTTAAAATAGATCAGCTGCTCTTCAAAACTTATTTTTGTAGATTGCACAACTATGTTTGATTTCAGGAAACACGCACGTCTCTTTTCCAAGACCTGATGCCCTTTAAGGAGGAGGCGGTGTTAAGAAATCCTCCATGGGACTCTGCAGCCACCAAATTTCCATCCACCACTCAGGAGACAAAGAGACTTTGAATGGAAAGATGTGGACTCCGTGACGGCCAACAGGCGCCTAGGGAGGCCTCCGGGGTGATCACACTAAAAGGCCTCCAGGACCCTTCAGAGAAGAGGCCCTCACTGTCAGCAGCTGTGATCACCTGTCTCGGAATTTCTGAAAACCCTTAGGAAGCATTATAGATGTATGCTTCAACTTGCGGGGCAGCTTTGGAATTTTAATTCTATGAAACTCTCTGAACAGTCCACTCAGGAGAAAGATTGACATATCACGGGTGGGGAAAAACTGCTTTATTATTCATCCATACTTGGAAGACAAGTAATTTCAGCCTGACGAGACAAAAGTGAGAAGAGGCAGAGAGAACGAACAAGTGAGATAAAGAGGAAGAAAAGCAGAGGGATGTATGGATAGGATAGGATAGGATAGGATATGACATGATAGATTATACATACATAGATGCATACATATACACATATGTATATAGATGCATAGATAAGTGATGGCTAGATAGGGAGATAGATAGATGTGCAGGCTACTGAGGACAAAGGTAGACAAGAGACATGCTAAATCAGCCTTTTTGTTCACCTCACCTGAGAAACATAATGGCATCCTAGATCCCAGCCCGTATATCATCCCTTAAAAACCTCATTGAGAAGTTTGGTCATGATCCTGTCCTTATCCCAGAGCTCTTGGGAAACCTTGCCATTAACTCTTACAATTGCTGCACCTGCTCATTCACTCCTGGGAAAATGTCAAGATCTTTTTCCTTTTGTGGAACAGAGGCTACAGTGAAGGCACTTTTCTTTTACCGAGACTTTTCAGAAGGGTTTTTTTCTCTCTCTCTCTCCTACAATTCCAAAGATTTTATTTTAGACCGCAGTGGAAGGCACAAAGAGGCATTCAGCTCAGCCTGCAGATTGCTAGAAAACCCTTCACATCCCACAGAAATTAGAGAGGCAGCCGTACTCATCAGCAATAGTGTATAAATTTGGAAGGAGTGATTTTATAGAATCAGACCATTTTAGAATGAGGAGAAACATTAGTTCATCCTCTTCATCTCCAGGATGAGGGTAGTGAGGTACTTAGACTCTAATCTTTGACTACTCAGGGCCTCATTTTTCTCATCTGCGAAGCGGAAGAACGATGGCGAGGTGACTAAATTAACAACAGGTTGGTCTGCAGGGACCGTGCTGTTAAAGATCGAGTGTTGCCTCCTCAGAAGACCCTGAGCCGGGCTGCCTCCTCCCTGCTGCTGAGCACAGCAGATCTATCCCTGGGGAGCCCTGGTCCCCGCCTCCTTCCCCCTGGACTCCCAAGGAGTAAATCCAGATAGATGTCCTGGCTGGTCCCAGGCCGCCTCGTGCTTACGGTTCTGAGCGTTATTTACTCGATGGCTGCATTAAGCACACACCTGCGGTGGGGAATATTAATGCAGATGTTTGGGAAGCAGCTTTGCCAAAATTGTCAGAAAATGCACGTGAGGAAATTATCCTCCTGGTCCCTCGGTGGGTATTATGTCTTTTATTGTCTCTGCATTTTGAAGTATTTCCTTCTTTAAAGATGGGCTTTTAAAAGACTGCTCCGTTGAGGGCATGGGGAAGGGAGAAGACAGGAGAGAAGAAAACAGAGGAAAATAACACAAGAGGGGTCCCCGCATGCAATATTCAGAGTTGGGAGAAGTTCGATCGTTCTGCCACTGTCCCCAAGAAGCTGTGACCTTGAGGTACGTCTGGAGAGAACAGGAGCTTGCAGTGAGAAGAGAGTTCTGGGAAGTGTGAAAGGGAGAAGACGTAAGATGCAAGCTCCTGTAGAGAGAGATGGCCCATCCCAGTGGGCCAGATTGTCTTGAGAGGGTAGACCCACTGGCACAAGTGGTAGGAAAAGATGCTGGCATTGAACTAAGGTTGGATCAACCATTAGGACTGGCCCATGAGGAGAAACCCAGCTCCAGAAGAGAGTAGGACTTCCACTGATGACAGTCTTCCCAGAAAACTAAAAAAGGAAATCTTTTTTTTTGAGACACCATCTTAGTCTGTTGCCCAGGCTACAGTGCAGTGGCAATATCATAGCTTACGGCAACCTCAAACTCCTGGACTCAAGTGATCCTCCCGCCTCAGCCTCCCAAGTAGCTGGGACTACGGGTGCACCACCACCACACCCAGCTAATTTTTCTATTTGGTGTAGCAACAAGGGTCTTGCTATATTGCTCAGGCTGGTCTTAAACTCCTGGCCTCAAGCCATCCTCCCAACTCAGCCTCCCAAAGTGCTGACATTACAGGAGTGAGCACCACACCTGGCCAAAAGAGGAAATCTTAAAGGAGCTTAAGGTGCCAATGTAGGAAACACCAAACTTCTCCGGAGGAGAAAGGAAAATGATGGTTATCTGGACTAGAGCCTGCGAGATTCCCCACAGGAGGGAGGAGGGTATTTGGAAAAAAGATTCAGAAGGATGACCTGTAAGGGTAGCATGTGGCTCCTCTCCACCCTATTCAAAGAGAAGGAATCAAAGTTTAAAATATTAATTAGACCTTGGGGGATACAGCATAGAGCTTTCAGTTGGGCAGTAAATATGACTAGTTTTATTTTGGATTCACTCACATCTTAAAAATGAGACAGTCTGGGGGTGTCTCCTCCTGAGAGCTGCCCCTACCCTAAGAGTGGGCTGAGGAGAGAGCAGAATACACAGAATTAAGGGGGAAAAGTCATGAAGGTCACCTGGCCTTCTTTTAGTGTTGAAGGCCTCAAAGTGCTGTCTCTGCCTAGGAAAAATGAGCCCTTGTGCATTCTACCTGACCTTGCCGGCAACCACATTTGGATTTGGGGTACCCTGCAAACAGCAGCAAAGAGTGGCCACCTTCTGCCTGTGTGCTCTGTACATGTGCTTTCAGGGAGTTCACATGAAATCAGGTGTAAAGAGAGAGCAACACACAGTCTGCACAGCAATTGTGCAGAGCAATTCCCAAGAGTCATCTCAGGGAGACTGAGGACCAACATTTAAGGTCCCATGCCTAGAACGATTAGGGAAGAGAACTAGAAGGATCGATAAGCCCCATCAGTCCAAGCACTTTAGGCTAGCCTCCAGCCTCATGACCTGGGGAGCTAAACCTGGCCAGATCAAACAAGAAGGAATCCAAGAACATCTCGGGAGGATTTCCCACGCCGTTTAAGAGAGGGAAGACAGTGCTATGGATCATGACTCGCTGCTGTTAAGAATGATATAAAATATGCCTGGGATCTTTGCTGCATCCCTGTGGCTGTTTCTTTTCCTTGTTCTGTTTCCCCATGGTGAGCCCTTGAACCAGATGTTCCATAAGTAGTTCAGGAAATGGGAAAGCTAGAGACAGAAACTTGTACCCTACAACTTAGATTGGAAAGGAGAAAATGCCCCCAGGGAAAAACAGAAGATGACAGCTCTGAAGAGAAGCCTGAGGGTCAGGCTGAACCTCTTCACCCCTCTTACCTCTGTAAGTGAGGAGCCAGCCCCAGGACATGGGAAGGGACACAAATGGGGAGAACCCAGCCCTGGGCTATGAGGAGTCATAAGTGCTGGTCTCGACTCTGTACCTACCTCTGTGACAAAGGGAAAGTCTTCTCACCTCTTTGGGTGTGTCGTGATCAGTAAAGTAGGAGCTGGCTTCTTTACCAAGAAGCTGGTGGAAGCAATGGGGTACCAAGGTAGGAGGTGTTGGGAGTCAGCCCTGGGCGCAGGAAACAAGAGATGCATTGTCATTAGAAAATTTTAAAACAATAATAAATGGACTCAGTTATTCTGCTTTTTATTATCATCATGCACAGGCAAGGGAACCAATGCCTGTGCTAAACTGCTCCTCCCTGCCAGGGTGTTTTATCTCACCCCCCACCCCACCCCGTCGGTGTGCTGCAAGGCCAGAGAGCCCTTAGTTGGCAGGAGAACCACGGAAGAGCTTTCCAACACCACTCAATAATTACAAGCAATTAGAGCTACACTAACATTGAAATGCAGTATTGATGAAAAATTAAGAGAGGCAGTAGGCCAAAGAATGGCCCCAAAGATATCATCAGGTCATAATTCCTGGAACCTGTAAATGCCACTTTATTTGGCAAAAACTCTACAGATGTGACTAAGTTAAGGATCCTAAAATGGAGAGATTATGCTGGATTATTCTTGCAGGCCCTAAATGCAACCCCAAGTATCCTTAGAAGGGAGAAGCAGAGGGAAACTTGACAACAGCCAGCAAAGAAGGCAGCGTGGCTGCTCTGGGCAGGCCCCAGAAGCTGGGAGAGGCAAGGAGCAGGTTCTCCCTGCAGCCTCTGGAGGGTACACGACCCTGACCACACCTTGATTTCAGACTCTGGCCTCTGGAACTGTGAGAGAATAAATTCCTGTTGTTTTAAGCCACCAAGTTTGTGGCAATTTGTTACGGCAGCCACAGAAGACCAAAGCAGGTAGTCCTGCAGCGAATGGAGAACCACTTCTTCAAGGGGGTTACAGTCTCCATAGAAAGGACTTTGTGCTGCCCCATGGAGCACTGCGATCTGCATCTTGTCCTCAGAGCCCAGCATTCCAGAATGTATTGATAGCAAGAGATACTAGAGATGAACCCTTGTGAACACAAAGCTGGAAAAACAGTTCCACCAACTCCATCCCCCCAGTTAACCTCTGGCAAACTCTGCCCTAAAGATGGTGGTGTCCTTGAGACATTAAGTTTGAGTTTGCTGCCGGTCCAGAGTTCCTGCAGTTCAGAGTCCCTGCCCAGACCAGGATGCGGGTACTCCAAGTGACATCCTGGACAATTCCTAGACAGCCGTGACCAGTTGGCTATGCTGCTCGTTCTCTAGTTCTGGGTTCTCCCTTTGGTAAACATCCTTTGTGTGCTGTTCGGATGGCAGATCATTTATTCATTGCATGAAGCATTTCATTAGTGACCTACTTTCCCACTCCACACATCACAGAAACCAAAATCCCTGCTTAAAGTGAAAGCAGAATAGAGCCAAGAGCCCAAATAAACAGGTCATGTTTTAAACCCAAATGGGCGGAAGCAAAACAACAGGCTCACCTGGGCTTGACTTCCCTGTTGCAAGAAAGAAACTTAAAAAGTCATAAAATGCCATGAGAAATAAGGATTAACACTGGTTAATAAACTTACTGAAAATGTGAGCTGCCCCTGTAGCTTAGCCCACTTGTGCCTCACGTTTTCCGTCCGCATGCTACCAGAAAAAGCCCTCTTGGTAATGAATTTATGTGAATCATAACATGCTTTAAATACATGGAGGAAGAGTCGCTCACTAAAGAAATCTCCCCGCAAATTCTTTCATAATGTGAAGACTTCATTTTTAATTTATTTTTGATGAAAATCTAGATTCTTCCCATCATATTTGCTTAAGGAGAGGTGCAGATTTACAAGTACAAATTCAAGTGAGTTCTGCTCCACTGCCAAGGTTAATTGCCGTCCTTCTTTCAAGGAAAGCAGGATTCTAAGTCTCTGCTGTGCCACTTTTGCAAGCATCAACTTGCCTGGCCCTGGGAGAGTTCCCATAGCAATTTCCACATTCTTACACCCAGAGCAAGGGGACATTAGGACCACTGAGTCGGAAAATCATCACGGGCCCCACAACAGGAAAATGCAGCTAATTTCAGGAGGAGGGGGAGTTTTCAGTGGGCAAATAACAAAAGGTGATATTGATACAAGAGAACAAACTCAAAATAATCTTAATTCTGTACCATACACTGGTTATAAACTTGAGCAAGGAGGAGAAACGGGCCCACAAGAGACATATAGGATGAAAGTAAAAAGGGAGGAAAGAAGACCAAAATAAAAGAAATAAGAGAGTTAAAGGAGGAAAATTAAATACTAGAAATGTTTTGATGCATATATATTCATTACTCATAAGGCTTTTTCTAGCAGGAGGAAAAGGTACAGTGGGTTCCAAAAATGTAGAAAATTTCATTTATGCCCAGACCTATGAGTTTAAAAGTACTCCCTGGACTACTAACACCTTACATTTGCACAACGTCTTACAATTTCCAAATTATCTTCCCTTTTGATCCTCACCACATCAAGATGAGCACGTCGTTTTACACATAAGTAAACAGATTCCGTTTGTTCCCTGCCCAATATTGCAAAACTAGAGATCCAGAGCCTGAGTTTAGGGATAGGTCCTTCTGGTTCCAAGTGGAATATCTTTCCCATTTTTATCCTAAACACAAGTGGGTGTACAATGCACCTTGGAATCCTTACATGCGTCTTGCATTGTGGGTAGACAAATACCTTGAATGCCCCCCACCAATTTGTTTGTACTAAATTATGCTTATAACCTGTCTTAGCACAGGCTGCTATAACAAAATACCACAGACTGGGTAGCTTAAACAATAGACATTTATTTCTCACAGTTCTGAAGGCTCGGAAGTCAAGATCAAGGTGCCGGCAGGTTCGGTGCCTGGTGAGGACTCTCCTGGCTGGCAGACAGCCCCGCCTTCTCAATCCCTGCTCACATGGTCTTCCCTTGCAAGATGTGTCCTCACAAGCAGGAGATAGTGCGCTCTCGTGTCTCTTCCTCTTCTTCTAAGTGCTAATCCCATCGTGGAGGCTCCACTCTCATGACTTCATCTAAACATAATCGCCTCCCAAAGGCCCCACCTCCAAATACCATCACATGGAAGAATTAGGGCTTCAACATATGAGGCTTGGGGAGGCACAAACATTCAGTCTGTAACATAACCTGAGCCACCGATTCCGCTGTCTTTCAGGAGTTTTCCCTAGTAAGTAGTACGGCTAGGTACTGGAAAAGACCAGTGGACGATGCTGACATGAGGTTGGCCACGGAGGGTAGAGAAAGCAGCGGAGTGCCCTCTAGGAAGACTCTTTGTGCCACAGCCTGCCTGGACAGCACTGCAAGGTGTGGGGGGCTTACCCTGGACCCTCTCATCCTCAGACAGCGTCCCCTCTCCTACAGAGAAGCCCAGGGCCCCACCCCCGCCCACCCCTCAACCCCACCTGCCCCTACTATCTTTTTTGGGTTTTTCCCCTGCTATGGACCCAATATTTGTGTCACCCAAAATTTTTATGTTGAACTCCTAACCCCTAATGTGATGGTATTTGGAGAGGGGGACTTGGGGGGCAATTAGGTTATGAGGGTGGACCCCTCCTGGTGGGATAAGAGCCCTTCTAAGAAGAGACCCCAGAGAGCTTCCTTCCTCTTTCTATTTTTCTCCCCCTCCCCATGTGAGGAAGGCAGGAAGAGGACCCTCACTAGAACCCCGTCAAGCCGGCCCCCTGGATTGCAGATTCCAGCCTCCAGAACGGTGAAAAATCAGTGTTTGTGGTTTAGGTCACTCAGTCCATGGTATTTTGGTATAGCAGCCCTAACTGGTGAAGACAACTTGAAAACACACATCTTTGCTTATCCAGCCCAAAGGCCATTATACCACCACCGGCCCAACACACACACACACACACACACACACACACACACACACACACAGTGTTGTGCTGATAAATGTTCAACGAGCCATTCTCCAAAACAAAAGCATCCCTGATTGGTAGGATTTGCTGTTTCAGTGATATAAATCCTCTCGTGGTTAATCTCGACCTGCCTGTGTGACATCACTGAAGGCCGAGCTGGGACGAGACGCACAGTAGCATTTCTGCCAGACTGACACGGCGGCCGTAAACAGCCTCAAGGCAGAGACCACTGTAAAATATGTAAAATAAACAAGAAATGATGAATTTTCAGTAGTTACTACCTTGGTTTCTAATATAACTTATTTAATTGTAAGCACATATAATTTACTTCTTAATTACAATGGCTGTGTTTAACAACCAGCGACCAAATTTCCTGAAAATTTGATAATGGGCTCTCTGCAGCCTATCGGGGTTGGCTGCAGCAAGCAGCTGCCCATCACTCCCCACCCAGGCCCTGCTCTGGTTTGCTAATGTGACTGCTAATTGGTGGCATTTTTTATGTGACCCAAAGGAGTCACATGCGATGGTTGAATTTCAGACAACTTGGCAGATCCATGGAATAGATGTTTCTTGGTCTCCTCTCAAATCCTAAGTGGTTTTCAGTAGCAGACTCTGCCACCAGCTAGATAATGGCTTCGTACCGTGTGCCACTTGGTGGCTGCTGCCACCACACTTCATGCGAGCTGGAGCACATACCCACAAGTTCAGGGTAACCCCCAAACATCAGGATAAAAAAGGAAAAAAATATCCAGTCAGCCACTTGTTTTAGCTGCACGATGCTGAAAGACTGGCATAACTAAAATGTTTTTCTCCTCTGAACTGGCTGGGTATGTTGATGTTGTACAGACAAGATCGTACTCCTCAAAACAGCCACGCACACAGCACCGATAAAGTTCTTTCAGGAAAAGGTTCACATAGCCTTGAAAGAGGGGAGGGAAAAGGCAGGCTGCCTGCTCTGCTCCAGCGCCCTTGACTACAGGCTCAGCTCCCTCTCTCTCCTTTCCAAGCACACAGTATCTGAAAAAAGGACAGCCGAGCCTGCAAATCCTCTCATCAAAGAGGCATTGACTTTTAATTTTACAAATGTGGCTCTTTCCCATAAGGAATAGGAAGAATTCATTAGTAATCGTACTCAGGAGACTTATTCCACCCGCATGTTTCTTTCTTCTGGCTACTGTATAATTACACCCCAGATTTCTGATTACAGAAACTTTCCCCCTTAACCGCTATACAATTTTAGATTCTCTCCTTTTCTCATCTTTCCTTTTCCACTTGGCCTTTAAAAAGAGAGGAAGCAGGAAATTGGCAAAGAGAAGTATGTGAGTGGGTACCAGCGTAGTTATGCTTTCATTCCTAGAGTCTTTTATCTGTAGATAAAAGAAAGCAAAGGTTGGGCACGCTGTGCTAACGACTGTCAGTGTCCCCAGAAAACAATTCTAATGTGAGTCTTTCTTGCAATGGGGCAAGGGCCATCTGAACGCCAGCTTGTATGCAAATAAAAAAGGCATTGGAGGGAAGTGCATTTAAAGCATATGATAGCCAGGCATGGTGGCTCACACCTGTAATCCTAGCACTTTTGGATGCCAAGGAAGATCTCTTGAGGCCAGGAGTTCAAGACCAGCCTGAGCAACGTGATGAGACTTTGTACAAAAAGAAAAAAAGAAAGTGAAAATATCCAGGCATGGTGGTGCATGCCTGTAGTCCCAGCTACTCGGGAGGCTGAGGCAGGAGGATGGCTTGAGCACAGGAGTTTGAGGTTGCAGTGAACTACGATGATGCCACTGCACTCTAGCCTAGGTGACAAAGTGAAATCCTGTCTTTAAAAAAAAAAAAAACTGGGATACTACATAGACCTGTTAATTGCCACATATACCAGCTGTGTAAATAACCTCACATGTCACCACCTGCCCTTGGCATTGTTTCTCCATCCACTGAAATGCACAGAGAAGGATATTACATGAATCAGCAGCTGTAATACTGGCCTCACAGAAATCCTGCTCTCAGGGAAGCAAGACCATTTCCAAAGCTACTCTCTGCAGGAAAGTGCACCCAGCACGTGTGTTCTGGCGAGCCGTTGCACAGCAATAGGCCCGGGTATGTAAATCACAGAAAGAGCTGCTAATTCTTGAAGGAGCCAGCGTCTGATGGGGGCTCCTAAACGCCTGCAGCAAGTGCGTAGCTCTGCTCCTCCGAAGAAGAACAGAACATCTGAGCCATTGCAGGGTTTCTGCCCTACACATACACACACACACACACACACACACACTCTATTTTCATTTCTCCTTTTCAAAAAGAAAATTTCTCTTTATCTTTCTGTTATTAGCCTCTCGTGATGAACAATAGGTCGGCAATTCTGAGAAAATAAACTGCTGAAATTATTATTCTCTCCTTGCTCCAGATTGCTCTGTGAGCTACGGACTGCGCGTTCTGCATTCGGTGACTAAGGCCCCATCCCATGTGTTTTCCCAGTTCAATCAACTGTGCTAAGAACTGTCACAATAGCCCTTGACGACAAGAAAATAAAATTTAGGGGAGAATGGAAAGCCTGACTTGCATTGTAATTCGTGTGTGCACCTGTTTTTACCCCCTCGTTGACAATGTTTGCAAACATTTCCATCCACCTTAATGACAAAAGAAAAGGAATGGGTTATTTTTCCAGTTTGGATAATTGCTTCTGAAATGTTGTCACAATCTTCCAAATGACTATATTTCTTTCATGTCAGACCGCTGTGATTTCCGGGCAGCACAGGTTTGGTTTTGTTAGGGTTCTGGTCTGCTGAGAGCCTTGGGAGCTTTGTTTTGTTGTTTTTGTTTTTTGGGGTTTTTTTTTTTTAAGAAAAAGACAAAGCAAAACCAAATAAGTCACAATGATAACTTATGACAGAAAAATCAACATCTGAATCGAATGATAATAGCAGGCGCCAGCAGCGCGGAGGGGATGTGTCTTGTGCCAAGAAAAGAAAGGCACAGAAAGTTATTTAAAACTGATCAAAACCCACTAGGAGTCACAATCCCATCATGGTTTCCCTTTGGAAAAGCAGTTTTCAGAAGCCCCAATTAACCTTAATTGAATTCTGCCTTAGTAATATCTGGAATTTTAATTGACTGGGAAGGTGATCATAAATCTCCGTTCATAATGCGGCTTAGCCATTAGTAAATCCCCGGATGGCACACAGCCTTCTCATGCAGGGGACTGAGCCATTCTGCGGGTGAGGCTGGGTTTCAGATCACAAAACAAACATTCAGAAAAGAATGCTCCCCGCCGTCAGAGCCGGCCTGAAAGCAGCTTCAATGTGGATGTTCAGGGTAGAAGTAAACAACTCTAGTGGACCAAAGGTTCATGTTTACAGGTGTCATCTTCAAGGAGTTCCTAAAACGCGAACAGAAGCACCAGCCCCCATTGCCCGCAGAAAGAAATCATCCTTCAAATCACTTAGAAAATCATGGTATTGTTCATATTTTCTATTTGAGAAAATCAGCTATCAGTTTACTCCTTTTTTTTGTTAAAACTGCTGAGGCCAGAAAGATATTTTAGGCCTTTCAAATTTATACATGTGATTATTTAACGTTCTCAACTAGGGTTAAGGGGCTTATTAGAACGACCTAGATACCTTTTCAGAGCCCGAAGGGCATATGAAAAAAATGCATACGCATTTTGAAGAAAAAAAGAAATGTTCTTGGTAGCTTCTGATTTGGAGTTCACTGATATCCAAAACACTCACCACCTCAGGTTGAAAAGCCATGACTGGATATATGAGGAAAATGGCGGACTAGAGGCTGCCGTGACTTGAAATCACAATCATTTATTTGCCCGTGATTCTGAGCAAATTGGGTGGCTCAGGAGAGGAGAGGAGGGTGGTCTAGGATGGCCTCACTCACATGTCAGGAGACCCGACTGAATCTGGCTTGTCTCTGGTCCCCGGGGTCTCCTTCAGCAGCCCAGCCTGGGCTCTCTTACACCATGTCCACCCTCCAAGGCAGCAAGCAGAGGCGTGCAGCGCCTCGCAAGGAGCAAGCTTAGAACGCGCACAGCATCACTTCCACCGCATTGCATGCTGGTCAAGGACAGCCCACATTCAAAGGATGGGGAAATACTCTACCTCTAACGAAAAGAGGAGCAAAGAACTATGGCCACTTGCAATTATGCTTCATAGGGTGCACAGGCAGAAAAAATGAGGAGATTCTGGACCATGAATGGTTCTGAAAATAGGATCAAAGTGGATACTACATTTGTGCCCGCTCCACACACAAACACACACTCGGCAACGTGCTGGCAGCATAGCCCCCTTCACGTAATCACTCTCACTCTTTTCAGATCCTTTTCATCTATATAGCTCTCCCTTTCTGTTGTTTTCCTCTCTCTTTTTCAAAATCAAGAAAGCCTTCTTGGCCGGGCGCGGTGGCTCACGCCTATAATCCTAGCACTCTGGGAGGCCGAGGCTGGCAGATTGCTCAAGGTCAGGAGTTCAAAACCAGCCTGAGCAAGAGCGAGACCCCGTCTCTACTATAAATAGAAAGAAATTAATTGGCTAACTAATATATAGAAAAAAATTAGCCAGGCATGGTGGCCCATGCCTGTAGTCCCAGCTACTCTGGAGGCTGAGAGAGCAGGATTGCTTGAGCCCAGGAGTTTGAGGTTGCTGTGAGCGAGGCTGATGCCACGGCACTTACTCTAGCCTGGGCAACAAAGTGAGACTCTGACTCAAAAAAAAAAAAAAAAGAAAGAAAGCCTTCTTTAGGATGCTAATGTTATCAAAACTGAAAAACATGTTAGTGGTAATGCCTTTCCCCAACTCATCCAGCTTCAAAACTTCTGAGTCAACTTTAACTTGTCCCTAGCCATTTCCCCTCACAATCTGTCATTGCCTGGCCCTGCAGACACTCTCTTGCAATATTATTATGTCCCCACGGCATGTCCCCTGCTCTGCACTCTTACTGCCATCACTCTTACTCAGGCTCTCATTGCTTCACCACTTACTAGTTACGAAACTTTGGGCAACTTCCTTTGGGTTTCTATGCCTCTGTTTCTTCATCTATAAATTGGGAACAATAACATACTTATCTGCCAAAGTTGTAAGGAAGATTAGATGTGATGTTCTATATAGAGTATGTGGCTTAGAACCTAGCACATTAGCAAATGCTCATTGGCCATAACCTGTTAAATGCACCCAACCACAATTCATCCTTCCTATTTACCAGATTGTTTCTCCAGCTTAAAAAACATCAATGAGTACTCCAAAGTCTTTGAAAATAAATCCTCAAGCTGATATTTAAGGCTTTTCAAATTTGACCATATTGCCCCTTTCCATCTTTACTCACTCTTCCCCTCAAAATGCCCTGTTCTTTTGGTTAAGACCCTCACCCTTTCCCACCTATCTAACTCATATTCGTCCTTCAAGACATGCACCCACAAACACTCAGCGATCACCTGCCCACCCTGGCATCATTCCAGTGCCTTAGTCCATTTCATGCTGCTATAACAGAATATCACAGACTGGGTAATTTATAATAAACAGAAATGTTTTTCTCACACTCCTGGAGTCTGGGAAGTCCAAGATCAAGGTGCTAGCAGGTTTGGTGTCTGGCAAGGGCCCAGTCTCTGCCTCCAAGATGGTGGCTTGAATGCTTCATCCTGCAGAGGGGAGGAACGCTGTTTCTCATGTGGCAGAAGGTTAGAAGGGTCCCACTCCTGAAAGCGCTTTTTAGTTCGGCATTAATCCATTCAAGAGGGTGGATCCCTTATGACCTAAACACCTCCCATCAGGCCCCACCTCCCAACACTATTGCATTTGAGATTAAGTTTCAAACACTGAATTTTGGAGGGGACAGACATTCAAACCATAATAATGAGTGTCCTCAAATACCCAAATAGCTCACAGTTCCTGTCCTGGGGAGTTCTGTTGCCTCAAAAGACACCACTTCTATGCACATTTTCTCATTCTCCATTCTGCAACCCCAGCCTCAAATGATCCTTTCTTCCTCTGAACATCCAAAATAACATGTTTGTGCTTTTCTCATGGCACTTATACTATGCTCTGTATTGTAGTTCTGACTAATATAACAGGCTGGGTTGCAAGCACTTAGAACTGTATCTTGTCATCCAACTTTCCTAAATGTGTTTAATCCAGTGCCATAGACATAACAGATCCTCAATAAACAATTTCAGAATCAAGAGACAGGACTAACCCCTGCATTACCAGAATATTGAACCTGTGTCAGACTGCAAGGATTATATTTTGACCCACAATTCAGCTGACCTGATATAATGATGCCCTATAACATTACTGTGTTCCAATACATTTGTATCAATACACAAACATGCACAACTCACTGCCCCAATCTCTTCTTATATATTTTGAAAAGTTTCTGGAAGCAAGAGTTTCTCAAGGGTCTCATTCACTCTTGATTTTTTGCCCCTTTTCATAAGACCCGGTGTCATATTATCTCTAACTGATGGTATTTTAAATTTACCCAATGGTATTTCATTTATCTGATAGAATTTTAAATTGATCTAATTTATTTAATTTACTTAATCTAATTTAATTAAACATCCTATCCACCTGATGTTATTTAACTTCACCTAATGGTATTTTAAATTTATCACAGTCTAGAAGTTAATCAGAATCAATAAAATTGGTTTAGGGCAGTGTTTCTCAAAGTGTAGTCCCCGGACCAGCAGCAGCATGAGGATCACTTGAGGACTTAGTAGAAATGCAAATTCTCCGACCCCAACCCAAACCTACTGAATGAGAGACTCTGGGGGTGGGGCCCAGCAGGCTATGGTTTCACAAGCCCTCCAGGTGATTCAGATGCATGCTGACATTTGAGAACCACTGATGAAGGGATTGAGTGAAATTGTTTCTGGACAAATAAACTGGTAACACAGATGGAGGATAGGAAATTTTTTGATGAAAATGAACTATTCCTGGGTTATGGTTTGCATAGATTTGCAGGAGACCAGCCGAGATAGCAGATGAGTACAGTGGCTGAGACCCAATTTCTACGATTGGCCAAGGTACAAGATATGCATCTGTTTACTCTGGAACTAAGGGGATAAGGAATGTGTCATAATGTGACATTGTCAGCACCCAGAGTTATTTTTAGAGCTGAGTTTTTGCTTCCCAAGTAAGAGAAGAAAAACACGCTCAAAAGAGTGCAGTATATAAATGTCTTAGAATTTGGGTTTTCCCTTCACAATGGGAGATTCAGAAATAAAAAGGAGCGAAGTGATTGATTGCAAGGTGGCTCACATTACGGTGGAGCCAGTCAGTCTCACCTGCAAGTAATCAAGCATGCAAATCAGTAGCCAAGTGGCTCAGGACACTCACCTGATCTCCCTGAGATGGCTGAGGCTGGTGCACACATTCTCACATGCAGTAAGAGGGCCAAGGCACGCGGATCACTTTTTGCTGCATAACTACTTCTTATCTTCATTAAGTCTAGTGACAGCTTTTTTAGCAGTGGGAACTCATGCCTTAGCCTATGTTGGACAACTCATTGCTAGGCCAAGTTAAAATCTGTTGCTTTCTGAAAAATATATGGTATGGACAGGTAAAAGTTTAAAATTCATTCTATACAGAGTGCTGTTAGCTAAGTTCCTTAATTGAAAGATTTTTAGTGATTTCTTAGGGAATCAAATTGGCTGTGGAGATTTAGCTATCTGTTTTAGAGATGTGTAGGAGACATTTTGAACAAAAGAGCAAGCATAAGAAAATTCAAAGAATTTTCCATGTAGTACCATGTCCATGGAAACAAGACTTTTGCATGTAGTACCTAAGCTTTTAACAATCAAGGTGACTGAGTATAGTTGGAGCTAACAGAGTACAGTTGGAAGTCAAAGTAGAGCTAAAATCAGAAATAGCTTTTATATATATATATCAGAGAATGATAACAATATATTACATTCTGCATCCAGTGTAGGCTCTGTCTGACTATTTAATGGCACCAGTCACTATAGAAAGTGACATTCATTGGCAAATAGCCTGACATTACTTTGGATCCTAGGGTCCCAGTAATTTTAGGAAGAGTTGATTTTATAATGTCCCCTGCTCTCCTCCTTCCCAGTCCCACCTCAGTTAAAATCTGAAACCCAAGAACTTACTAACAGTTACATTTTCAGAAGGGGAAGAATCTCTTATTCTTCACAAAACAACAGAAGAGCTATCAGTACAGTTAAGAACCATATGAAATCCTTCCTCAGATTCTCTGCCATCCCTTCTCACCTTTTAGATTCAAAGTAATTTATTCAGTAGACAAATATTCATTGAGCTCCTAGTAAGTGCTAAATGTGCTATAAACTGAGAATACATTCAAGAAGTTTTCAATCAAATGCAGCAGACCAAACTTGCGTGAGAATCACCTAAGGTGCTTGTTAAAATACTAGTTTCAGTCCCTGCCCCAAACCTTAATCAGAGTCTCTGTGGCTGGAACCTCAGAATCTGTGGGCCTCAGAGGCTACGGTATGCATGGAATTCCACTAGTCTCTGTTAATGGGGCAAGTTTCTCCCCACTTGCTCCAAATCACCATTGGCTTTGTCCTCAGTCAAGAGACTGTTTCCATGGAGAGAAATGTGCACACATGGTGGTTTCAAGCAATGCACTTACCACACTGCCCTTACACAAAGATACCCAGATTTTGGCAAAAACAAACCAACCACTAGGGAAAGTTTTAGACCACTTGACCTTCAGCTAAGTTTCTCGGACCATGAGGGAGACCTCAACAGGAGAGAAACAGATGGCCACAAGTTGGTCTTGTTGGTTAAGTATGCTTAACAGGTGTGTTTGGGTGGGTTGGAAGTTCCAGTGACTCAGCAGAATAGGAAACTGGAAGCAATGATTTGGGGGCTTTAACTTAAGAACATTCAGTTCAAAGGCAAAAGATACTTATTTCTAACTTTGTATCTTTTAGACTTTAACATATCTGGGCTTGAAATTTCAAGATGTAATTATTGAATCTTATAATAGGAGAGACTTTATATCCAATGTTGGGCTATCTCTATGTTGCTGGCATTCTATTGTTACATCTTGACATCATTTAATCTCCTTATAGATTCTCCAATATGCTACGTTTGAACAACAGGCTAGATGAGAAAGGGGTACTATTTCTTGGGTCCTCTGTGTCCTTAATAGCCTTGAGGTATAGTCAGTGTCTCTAAACAGCAAAACTTGCTAAACGTCCATCAGTTGCTTGTTCTAAGTGGGTTCTCTGGAAGTTAAATGTCTGTGGCCTAAATGGTACTAAAATGCATTGGCAGGAGGCTGAGACTAGAAGATTTGGTAATGTAGTGGTTCTGTAGAATCAAACAGACTTATATCTGGGTTCTAAAAGGCATAGCCCAGAAGTAATCATATGCAGCATTTGGGAAGTCAGGTTCCAAAGATTCCCTGCCTCCTGTTATCAGAGCAAGACCCAAGAACAGGATTGGGACCCAGTGAGTTCAATCAATAGTTTACAACTAGTGATTCTCAAAATATGGAAACCAGAGCAGCAACACCAGCGCCATCTGGGTAGTTGTTACTCGTTTCTGTGTCAAGTCATGGGTAAAATGTCAGAAAAACTCGCCCAGCGTCATGACTCAAGTGTGCAGGGCTAGAGGTCACATCACAGTGTGAACATGTCCTAAGGCTAGGATGTCCTATAATCTGTTGTTCAAATGAGATGACCCAGCCTAAGGATTAGGCTGTCAAATCACACACAAATCAGAGACATCACTCAAAATCAATCTGTAATTAGTAATTTTAAAGATACAAGCTCTCAAGATGCACAGTACAGCAGGTGATGCGTGGGATGCCCTGTGTAACTCAGCAGGCCCTTCCTTACCACATTGGTCACAGAGGAATAACATGTGGGGTCTCTCCATGAGGCTTTTGCACTACCTTACACACCAGGAAGTGTTTAGATTATGAAACAACCCATTTTATAACCAGACAGTTGTATAGTTAACATGATCCTCTTTGAGGATCATGCCTTATAAATCTATAGAGTAGGGGTCCTCAAACTTTTTAAACAGAGGGCCAGTTCACTGTCCCTCAGACCATTGGAGAGTGCACACTGTGGGCTTGGGATGAGTCGGCTGCTAAGCAGGACAGGTGGTGGCGGCAAAAACACCCAGCGGGCCAGATAAATGTCCTAGGTGGGCGGCATGTGGCCCACGGGCCGTAGTTTGAGGACACCTGCTATAGAGTCTAGGTCTGTTGGCCATATGTAATCCTAAACCAGGGATATCCAACTAAGAATATTCCTTATGTAAACACTCTCCTATCAATATCATTGGTCAACCGTAAGTTCCAGTCGTCAGCGTTTTTACAAAGAGATTAAACCAGGTCAGCTGCTTTCTTTTCTGGAAGCAGTGCCCCAGGAATCAGAAGCAAAGTGGACCACAGGCTAACTGCTTTGGCTCCTTCCCCACCAAGACACTTCTGAGAGGGAAAAAAGATGCTATTGATAATTATTCCAAGCCATGCATGGTGGTGTGTGCCTATAGTCCCAACTACTTAGAGGCTGAGGTGGGAGGATCACCTGAGCCCAGGAGTTCGAAGCTGCAATGAGCTATGATCACACCACTGCACTCCAGCCTTGTCAACAGAGGAAGACCCTATCTCTAAAATAATAATTAGTAGTAGTAGTAACAGTAGTATGCCAAGACAACAGGTGTAAACTGGGACTAATTTAGATAAACCAGAATGTTTTGCCACTATCTTAGTCCATTAGGGCTACTATAAAAGAGTACCATAGACTGGGGGAGCTTATAAACAACAGATATTTATTTTCACACTTCTGGAAGCTGGGAAGTCCAAGATCAAGATGCCAGTGTATTTGGTGAGAGACCACTTCCGGGTTCATAGATCAGTGCCTTCTTGCTGTATCCTCACACAGCGGAAGAGTGAAGGCAGCTCTCTGGAGTCTCTTTTATAAGGGAACTAATCCCATGATGGTTCTACTCTCATGATCTAATCACTTCCCAAAGAGGCCCCCTCCTAATGTCATCACATTGGGCATTAGGTTTCAACATATGAACTTGAGTGGGACACAAGCATTCAGACCATAGCAGTCACCCTACAGTATAACACCCAGCACTGAAAGTTTGTGGGTAGAGGAAGAGAAACAAGGTTTGCAATATAGAGAACCAGAAGGTAGTCTATGAAAAATTAGTTTAATCTTCAGGCATCTAAAATGGTAACTGAAGGATTACAATTGTAACTGGAAAATTATTTTAATCTTCAGACATGTAAAATTGTAACTAGAGGATTCTCGTTGAAGCCTAGTCAAAACAAAAGTTCTTTTTTAGCAGGAATATACTCAATAATGCATGATATATAATTATAAATGCACTAGACATTTTTCCTTTTTGATAAGGACTGTACAAAGTAGAATTTGTCATAACTCCTTTATCATAGGCCAAAATTCTATAGTTACATTAAACGAGTTTGTCTGTGTGTGACATCACATGAATTATGCACTCCCAACTCTAATAAAAAAAACTTTGGTCAATCATGCTAGAAGAACTAAATTATCTTTCTATTGTCACTATAGAAATTGATATTACAAAACCATTGTCATGTAAAGAAGCAATCAGAGCATATGCTGCCCCTAAAAAAGTAGGAATAAATATAAAAGTGTCCCAGAAAATAAATTAATGAAAATATTATGTTGTTTTCTGGACTCAGGGATGCCTCTGATAGTTCTCAGCTTTTTGAGCTACCACCGGTGAAGTAGGAAAAACAAAAGAGGTCGGGGAGCCCGACAGATTCAATTGCAATCCTGGCCCTCCGCTTTACTAATTGAGTGACTTTGGATGAGCCCTTTCAACACTTGGTGCCTCAGTTTCCTCATTTGTATAATGAGCAGAAAACGAGTAGACTGAATTATAAGTATATCATGAGGATTAAATAAGTGAACACACATAAAGTGCTTAGAACATGGCCTGGTGCATAACAGATATTCAATGAATGTTAACCATTAAGTGGGCAAGTAACCTCTCATAACCTGTCTGAGCCTCCATGTCTACCCTTACAAAGTAAGGAAAATGATACCCATCTTGCAGAAATGCCAGGATTGCAGGTAAAGTCACTGGGATTTGGTGGGTATCAATAAATAAGAATTATTGGTCTTCAAATAGGCCCCCGTAAGCGTGCGAGTCCCTCCTCTCAGCTTCCCCAGGGAAGGATGCTGGCCCACTTAGGCAGAGCTCTGGAGACTTGTGTCTGCAGCCCCGGCTCCCGCCTCCTTCCTGTTTTCCATCACCCTCTCCGACTCCCCATGCCTCTCTAAAAGTTTTCTGATATCATGGTTACTTTATCCATGTTGTGTTGAATAAAAGCACCTAACTAGCCTTAGGGCAACAGGATTTCTGCCTCTTTGCATTTTATTTCTCTCATGATTTTTCTTTTTTCTCTCAATCTCTTTCAAGTTTGCAGTGTTTAGTTTATTACACTCAGTATGGAAAAAAAAAAAAATGAGTTGTTAATTGGAATGCCCGGGATCTCCCCATGCCTAGAAATTAAACCATACACTTGGGTCCCAAGAAGAAATGGGTATTGATTCCAGTTTAACTGTCAGGGATGTTCCCTGACTTCCAACACGCCCCCTGTTCCCCTCCCAGCAGCCAGAAAGCGGCACACAGGTAATGCAGCCTGACTCACCTAATGGAACGGCGTGAAGCCTTCATTTAAAAAGCAAAAGCACTAAACCAACACCCTGAAATGAGGTCATTTCAATGTTGTGCTTGGAGCAAACTATGAAAAACTTGGTTCTTTTGCTGAACTTCGACCTCTGATGTCAGTTTAATCCATTTATTTATTTTCATTCATTGATAAGCCATTAAGGCTCCAGGTGTGCCTGTGAGAAGTGCTCCTCAGATACAAGGCCAAAGAAGCCAAATTTTACTACTGAGTTCCTAAATTTAGAAGCTTGGTTGCTGAAAATATACAAGATCTAAAACTAAGGAAGGAAGGGAGGCAGGGAGGGGGAGGAAGGAGGATGTCAGCTCTGTGTCTCTGACATCATCCACCTACCTACCTGAAAAGAAGAATACTGCCAGCTCGGAATCCATCTTTAGGACTCTTGCCCAGGCAAAGTATGTTGGTTTTTTTTTCTTTTTTCCCAGTGAGACAGACCTTCATAGAACAACTGCTGTCATGGAGGGAAAAGTCATCAATACCATCCCAGGTTTTGATTCCAAGGCGCTATCATACTGAACTGTCTCATCTATAAATCCAAATGAGAAGGAGCCATTGTTTTACCACCGGCATAGGCTGGCACATTTAAGGGTCAAGCCCACTTCCATACCACACACAAACAGGCCTGTGCCCTCCTCCAGCTGTGCCCAGACTTCGGGCTGAGGCCCTCGCCTTACCTCTCACTGTGCTTCTCAGCCTCTGTCGCTCCTTCCTGACTGCTGACCTCGCCCTCAACTCACACGGAAGTCCTGATGCTGGACATCCCCACCAGCACTGACAGGTTCACAGAGAAGTACCCAAAAGCCTGGCACAAAAGTAGTATCAGAGCTGAATATCATTTTGGTAAAAAATAAAATTATAAATATTTACATCTGTGTGTATATATACATATTTGTGCATTTAGATATACACACACACACAGAGCCAGATATATAAGCCTAAATATTAACTGAATCATGTTATTTTTTTTATTTTAGCGTATTATGGGGGTACAAGTGTTAAGGTTACGTTTATTACCCATGCCCCCTCCCCCTTTGAGTCAGAGCCTCAAGTATGACCATCCCCCAAACATTGCACATCTCATTCATTGTGTTTGTATATACCCATCCCCTCCTCCCTCCTCTCACCTGCCCAACACCCGATAAATATTATTCCTATATGTCCACTGAGGTGTTGATCTATTAATACCAATTTGCTGGTGAATAGATGTGGTGCTTGTTTTTCCATTCTTGAGATACTTCACTTAGTATAGCTCTCTGCATTCATGGCAATGTTTGTTGTTTTGAGATTTTTTGATAAAATCCATTCTCACTGGAGTTAAGTGGTATCTCATTGTGGTTTTGATTTGCATCTTCCTGATGATTAGAGATGTTGAGCATTTTTTCATATGTTTGTTGGCCATTATTCTGTCTTCTTTTGAGAAGTTTCTGTCCGTGTCCTTTGTCCTTTTTTTTGATAGAGTTGTTTGTGAATCATGTTATTTAGGTAATGTATGTGTGATTATATTTATGTTTTCTTTCTTTGTTTTTTTTAGAGTCTATTTCAGGCTTTAATCTCCAGGACACCACCTGTGCTATCAAAGAGTGATATAGAATAGACTTGGAATCTGAATAGACTTGGAATCTGCTCCTATCAAGGCTCTCCTAGAACTCTAGGACATCAAGTCTCTAAAGTGCCTCCTAAAGCAGATCTTTTGATTCCATCTGAAACCCCCCAAATAATCCCAAACCTGCCTAAAATCCTGGAATATAGTCTACAGATCCAAATCAGTCATGGCTAGCGCCCATTTACTAAGATCCCTTGAAGGATGTTGACTGCTCAAGAAAACCGGTGTCCTCCATAAATGAATACGGTGGAGGTGACCCATTGCCCATGGCTGGTAAGGGAAGTATAGGACTGGCTTTAGAATCAAACTGACTTGGGTTAGACTCGTGGTTCTGCCACTCACCAGCTAAATAGCCTCCACTTCCTCGCCTGTAAAATGGGGAGAATTCTATCTACTTTATCAGGTTGAAGATTAATGAGACAAGATTGCACAGTGTTCAGCATACTGCCTGGCTACGAAGGCTCTCATTCAATAGTACTATCTACATTAAAGGCTACTGATAAGACCTGATCACTGAGCTCAATCTTCTTAGGTAGGTATTGACGCAGGGGAGTCTTCACTTACCTTCCTCCTGAGTTCTCCCCTGGGAAGTGCTCCTAGTGCTCTGCTTGGAGCAGATCACGACCTCGTTTGCAGCTGGCCGGTGCCTGGCACGCTGGACAGAGACTCTCCAGAGAGGATAGGGTGCCACTGCTTCTCCAAGGGGCCCAGCAGGAAGGGAATCGGGCAGGGAGTTCTTCCCTTTCCTGTGCTGTCTCTTCCTTCTCTGCTTCACTTGACATGAGGCAACACATGGTTGTGTATCAGATTTCCATAAAAGTCTGGGGTAATTACATTTGACCCAGCAATAGCATTGTTGGGCATCTATCCAAAAGAACATAAGTCACTCTATTATAAAGACATCTGCACCCGAATGTTTATAGCAGCACAATTCACTATTGCACGGACATGGAAACTACCCAAGTGCCCGTCAATTCATGAGTGGATAACTAAAATGTGGTATATACTCACAATGGAATTACTCAATCCTAAGAAACGATAGTGAACTAGCACCGTTTATGCTATCGTGGATTAAGCTTAAGCCTGTAATACAAATCGAGACGACACAAGACCTGGAAAATGGGCTACACTGACAGCCTAAAACTATGGTGTTCAAATAATTGTAGTGTTCAACAGGGATCTGAGGGGGGGAGACCCACATCTTAAGGATGTGATGAGCATTGTAGGGGGGAAAGGATTACCTCTATCCCTTCTTAGGGAGAGGCAAAGAAACACACTGTAACCAAAATGCCTAAAAAAAAATTTTTTTGTTAATGGGAGGTGAACACGTGGAAGGGGGGAGAAGGGGAAGGGTACACACTTTCATGGTGGGTGCAGGGCGCACCACTTGAAGACTGGACACGCTTGAAGCTCTGGCAGAGTGGGGTGGGGATGGGGGCAGGGGCAAGATATGTAACCCTAACAATATTTGTACCCACAGAATTTGGGGAAAAAAATGTCTGGGGTAATTAAAGGGAGTTACATATGTAAAGTTACATCTTCATATACGCTAAAGATGATGTTCCCATAGTCTAGGGGGAAAGAAACCCAGATAGGTAGCTCCACCTCAACAAGGGACATGTCCCCCATTCTAACTCTGCTCTCCTAGTCTGAGGTTTGCCTTTCTCTCAAAAACATACATTTCTCTCTATTTGAACTACTATACCCCCCCCAAAAAAAGCAAAGTATACATTTTTCCTTTAAATTCTACAGTAAAGACAATAAAAAAACAAGACAGTTATCTGTCTTGTTTCACTTTCCTCTTCCCGAGCACATGGGAAGTCTCCATTGTCAGCCTTCCCTGCATGTATTGTTAGGGCCATCTGATTGGGTCTGGACAATGGGATATGACTAGAAGTGATGTCTGCCACTTCCAGCCTGGTCATAAACTCCCTGCAGGAGGGTGTCCATTCCCTGTCTCCTCTGGCTGCAGTGTCCTTTGGGGGTGGCACGTTCCGGAAGGCATCGCTGCAAGATGGAGAGGGGCTGCCCACCCTACATCAATCAAGGAATCAACCCTCGCTGTGTTAAACCCCTGAGATTCCAGGGCTATTTGTAACCACGGCATAGCCTTAATTAGCCGTGAAAATAGAACCTCAGACTAAGACTCCTCCTCCACCCTTCAAGAAGCCCTACCCTCAGGTGTTAGGCTTCCTCCAAAATCTATCGTCTTGCTCCCAGCTGTGCATTTTACTAAATCTGAATTATTCATCTTAAATAATGCCCCAAAGAAAAAAATGAGACTTCAGCTGAATAGAGAATGATGACTTTGGTACTTTAAGCTCCAGTAAGATAGAGAAAAACATTGGCATTCTATATCCAAACTCGCTATGTTTTTCTCAGTTGTATGGATGTGGTCATACTTTATTCTCCCAACAGTCCAACAGGTAAATCACACACACACACACACACACACACACACACATGCACACACTCAAAGGGCCAACAGTCTCAGACCAGGAGTCACAAGCTCACACACCTGGACCAGTCACACAGGCAATGCCAGTGACAAAGCAGACTGTGCACAGAACTATGTCAGACTAGGTGAGGCATGTCCTGTCTGAAGGAAGCCGCTTGCTTCCTGTCCCCCCAGCTGTCACCTTGCAGGCTGTGGGTCAGTGTGTCCGGATCTTCCAATTCTTTACAAAAGGTAAAAACCTGGGTTTCTATATAAACTCTCCAACGTTTGATAATTTGACAACTATGTACTTCAAGTTTAAAAACCAACCCTTTGAGTGCCAAGCAAAATGCAGCTACCTGGTCAGCCTGCCCTTCCGCATCTTCTCTTCCAAACCCGTGTGATCTATTTGACTCCCGCCCTATGGTCTGCAAGGCTGCGACTCTCACAGGGAAATGAATACCCTACAAGGTTATGCAGAGCAATGCCTTTCCTTCATCACCAATCCCCAAATTCAAATTGTGCCCCTGCAGCCAGCTGGAAATAAGAATCCAACCCATTGATGAGTCATATATATCTTGACTGCGGCTCCCTTAGGTGCACCAAGCCCCAGCCCCACAACCCACCCCACTGCCTCCCAGAATCTTCCAAATTACCATACGCAGAGACTCCATGACATTCTTAGCTACCACCACCCTGGCTGCCACAAGAAAAGAAGGACCATTAGTGATGACAGCCTCACACTGATCCATTTTTCTCTCATCCAGGTATTCCTGTGAGCAACAGCCTACAAGTGGGAAATAATGGTCAGGAATTCGAATTACCTTTTAGTGCCTGCACTACAATTTTTCTGAGAACAAGGATAGCGCGCTTTTAGAAGGATCAAATAGAATTTGAAAATCACCCTACTTTATGTGGGGAGAGCTTTAAGAATATCAAATATTTCTCACCATTTGCAAGCAAATGGGTCAGAAGATTTTTCCACGATTACCTCCACCAGAAAAGAGCAGTTTGAAACCACAGAAAATGAGTATTACCAAGAAGAAGAAGGAAAAAAAAAACAGTTTAAGAGAATGAGAAAGTCAGTCCCTGAGATATCTCAGAAATAGAGATGAAATAACTTTCTCCTACCACGCATGTGAGCTCCGAGCACAAGAGAGTCCTGCATTTCAAGCACAAAGCTCTTTTCAAAGTACAAATATTGGAAAAATAGACCAAGACATCGGCGCATTCTAAACACAGCTGTGTTTGTCCCCACCTACTGCCTGCCAGGCTGTGTTTGATTTAACCTGGCAACCCAAAGGTGAAAGGGTTCTGCATCCAATTATTCAATCTCCGAGGCTTCTCTTCTCCCAGCATCATTATTGTTAATGTTTGATATAGTAAATTGACCTATTATTAAATGTTGCAGCCAACAGAGAGGTTTTAATAATCTTTCGGAGTCTCCTATTAAATGTGTTTTTAGAAGGCTGTAATTTGTATTCATTTCAGAAAGAAAACTGTCTGGCCACCCACTCAGAGAGTCGCGGCTGTGCCCGCTGGGGCCAGTGTTACCGCCCGGCTCCAGCCCGACACGCTGCCTATGAGTCACCACTGTCTCCAGGATAATGTATTTATTAGCACTGGGGGGAAAAAGAAAGGAAAACAGGATATAAGATTTGCCAATCGGTTGAGCTCTGCGAGTTACAGAGTTGGGCAGGCTATTTTGAGCATTCCGGGTCACCTGAGAGTGAAGAGACCACAGCGGTTGTCAGGGAAGTATAAGCCCGGGGTTGTCATCGGGATAATGAGCCCGAGCCCTGGCTGGACTGGTTATCTCAGGCCTGCATCGGGAGGGTGAGGAAGTTTACAAGAGAGAGCTTAAGGTGCAGTGTCAGCGTGTCCCTAGTTAGGGCCTGAGGGTACAACCAACTGAGCATCAGCATCCAATAGATAACAACAAAAGCCATTATCTCCCTCCTGGCTGGGCTGCCAAGTGCAGGGGCCGGGATTGCCTGGTGTTTGCAGTTTCCATAGCAGCGCTGTTTTGTTCTAGCTGGCAAAGTACACGGAGAGGAAGGATAAACATTGCAGGAAATGACACGAACAACCCAAATACCGAGCCTGAGATCTCACGGCAGGCTTTGCCCTTTGTGCATCAGCCGTGCAGGGGAGCAAAGATGCTCTGCAGGAGAGGCCTGCAGACTAACGGCCTCTTTCAGCACAACACCAGGCGGAGTGTGGCCATCCATCCGAGGCTGGAGCCCTGGGCCTCTCTACCCCCCTTTCCCTGCGCCTTGGAAAAGCTTCCAGCGAGTTCAGAATGTCATCGAAATGGCAAGAGAGCCCCTGCGAGGGCAGAGTGAGGCGCTGCTGTTCTCTTCGACCCAGGACTCTTTGAAGCCCTGGCTCTTCCTTCACCTCAGTGCCATGCGGCTGCAGAGGGGTCTCTGAAGTCCCAGTCACTGATCCAGAGGGTCATGCTTCAAGCCTGTGTGCTAGTGGCGGTGGGGAGCCCACACCTCCACCCCTCGCTCCGGAGACCGCAGGGGAGGTTGCGGAGGGGGGTAATAAATGGTTCAGATCCATTCTTTGCTGGAAGTACAGCTACTCCTCACTACTGAGTAAGAGGAAAGACCTGGTCCCAGCCTTATGTATCAATCACCTTGTATGCAATAGGTTTCATTGCCTCTAATTTCAGTTTTCATCTGTTGGATATGGACCAAACTAGTTGTCTCAGACCAGGAAGCAGGGCTATCTCCAGCGCTAAGCAAGCCCAGCAACTTCTTGACATTACAATATCAAAGCACCTCAGCAGTCTTTACAGTGTTAAACAAATAAAGCTCTCTAATGTCCAGATTCTGAATTATTTTTATGCCATCCTCTCACTGTCATCATCATCATCATCATTGTCGTTTCAAGTGGACAAATGGGAAAAATCAAACGTACTCTTTTGTTTACAAAAGGTCGTAAAGGTCAGATTAAGGGTGAGAGGGAGTGAGCTCCAAATCCCAGCCACCAACTCAACTCACTGGTCTGGATGACATCCCTCCCTTGTTCCCTCCTTTACATAAACACAGGGTTTAATGTAAATAAATTGGCTGCCTCCATCCCCCCATTCTAGGATGTGCTGCTATATAATGTTGCTTCTCTTTCGCGTGGATCAAGCTAAACCATCCTGTGCAACCTGAAACCCTTCCCTGTCTGAACACCAGCACATTTGTACCCTTGGGTTAATGGGCCTAAATGTTTTCCATTTAGGTGAGCCGGAAAATATTATGGTCTCAGCTAGATCCAAATGTCAACATTAAAAGGCATAGGAGAACAGACCTGCGATAGAAGGAATTGAGGGCAATCCATGTATTTAAACCTGCACAGTAAACAAAGAACAAGTGTACTAAGAACTGGTCTCAGCTGCGATGAAAAGTCCTATTTCTTTGGTCTTTGTTTCTCCACTATCATAACCGGTTGCCAGGCGCCGTGTAGGGACTCATAACTTGTTGAATTAGTGATATTCTCAGGGCTCCAGGCTTAACATGAGAAGACGTATCTGTAGTATAGTTAAAACCACCAAAACTTCAGCTGCTCAGCTCCCCGAGTCCTGGTGGGGGGACTCCGATCTCCAAGAGCCCTTGAGTTCACGGGTCCCACTGCTATCCGACTGGCGCTGGAAACCAAGGTAGGTCATGCCTTGAGGGGAAACAGAGGCCATAATTTCTGCCCATCTTATGCTTCCTAATTATAGGCTAAAAACAAGAACTTTTAAAAACTTCTCTCCCTGCAATCCCTCAGGAAACAATAACGCCACCGCCCACATCCTCTCCTGTTTATGGACGGCCCTCTGACTTCGCACAAAGTGCTCCCAGGACTGATTTGGTGGGAGAAAATACCAAAACAAGACAAAAAGCCCCTGACATCTAGGAGCTTATAGTTTAATATCAGCCATCACTCAAGGAATATTTAATAACTGCCATGCCCCGTGCTGAGCACATTACTAACATTGGATTTATTCCCCACTCCCGTAAATGGACAGGGCTCAGAGAGGTGAAGTAGCCCGCCCTGATCACACAGCTGGTAAGTGATGGAACCCAAATCGGAATCCAGGTTTGACTGACTCCAGATTCCAGGCATGCTTCCCTACCATTACGCCGAGCTGTCCCCTCCAGCCCGAGGCAGGAGACAGTGCACGAGCTACATAAATCTTAAATGAGTCCACAGAAATGTTTCAACCACCACTTCCCAGACGGGCAAGAGAGAAAAGCATTTGAAATGTTCAGAATTTTTTTTTAATCTTTTTGAATAAGTAAAACATTTACAGTTTTCAAAAATCAAACAAGCTACAAAGGTTCAGAGTGAAACATCTTATTCCCATCCTGTCCTCCATCAGCTCTCTAAAATGATAAGCACTTTATTGGATTTTGAAGGTATCCTTCAGAGATCCTTTATGCAAATATAAGCACATATGAATATATATTTTTTTCTTCTTGTTTTTCACAAAAGGTAATGCACTCTACACGCTGTTCTGCACCTTGGTTTTTTTCTCCCCTTTGCCATTTCATTTAACCAAAGACTTGTCAGTCTTTCCATACCAACACATAAAGACCTTCCTCTTCTTTCACACTGCAATAGAGTATAGCTTAGCATTCCATTATAATTCATTTAAGTAGTTCCATATTGATAGACAATTGGATTGTTTCTGATCTCATACAATTAAAAATAATGACACAACAAATAATTTTTAGCATATACTATTTCACATATGTACCAGTATATCCTTATAAGATAAATTACCAAAAGTGGATTGCTGGACCAAAAGGCATATGTTTGCAATTTAATTGCTATTGACATCTTGCCCTCCCTAAGAGGTATACCAATGGGCATTTTCACTAGCAGTCTATGAGTGTCTATCTCGCCAGCAGCCTTGATAAGACAGGGTATTTTCGAAACTTTGAGTTCACTCTGTCTAAAATGTGAAAAAAAAAAATGGTATCTCCATGTAGCTTTAATTTTTCTTTCTCTTACAAGTAATGGGCAGCATCTTTTTGTATATTTAAGGAACTTCTATGTTTTCTTTTGGGGAACTCTATTTTCATTGCTTCAACCATCTTTTTGTATTGCTATTATTTTTATCATTGTGCAGTAAGAACACTAAGGTTTAGAGAACATGAAAGCCTATTACGGGATACAAAGTTGAGAAGTGGTTGAGTCAGAATTTGAACCCAGGTCTGTCTCTTCCAGAACCTGAGAATTTAACAACCAACACTTAATGTCTCATATGTTTTTTTTTCAAAAGGAACAACTAATGTTCCTTTTGTTTGTTCAAATAGGGTATAAAAGTGAGAATTTGGTTTCTCAATATGTTTTTTTGATTTTGGGGTTTGGGGGTGGGAGGGTTTAGACATAGTCTCACTCTGTCACCCCAGCTAAAGTGTAATGGCATCATCGTAGCTCATCACCACAGCCTAGAACTCCTGGGCTCAAATCCCAAGTAGCTGGGACTACAGGCAAGCATGCCACCACCCAGCTAATTTTTCTATTTTTTGTAGAGATGGGGTCTTGCTCTTGCTCAGGCTGGTCTCGAACTTCTGGCCTCAAGAGATCCTCCCACCTTGGCCTCTCAGAGTGCTAGGACTATAGGTGTGCATCACCTCACCAGCCTTCATATGTTTTAATAAGTTTGACATAAAAGATCAAAGATGATATTTGAGTTTCATCAAACTCATATCCATAACAAAAATTTTAAAGCAATGGTGAGAATAACTAAAGGAAATTTGTGGGGCTAGTTTGCAAGGCATGAATTTGATTACCTTGCACCCACTGGTTTTGATGTTTTAGGGAGAGCATTCAAGGAGTTGTACGGTCCTTGCTTTCAAAAGGCATATATTCCAATTAGGAAAGGCCTATAATCCACACATGAAATGTGGGAGGATTGAAATTGGAGGCAAATATTTTGCTAAGGAGTTGGCTATAAATAGGAATAATACCAACTTGCCAAAACTATTCATTCATAATTTGTTCTTTCATTCAACATTCTTATGAAATGTTTAATTCAGAGGTAGAAAATCAAGGATGGGCTAGAGTTAATAAAGGTTGGGTGGACATTAATTTCTGTTTGGGAATTCAGGTGGTTCCCCAGAAGCTGGTCCTATCCCAGGGGTAGAGCCCCAGAGATTTTCTAGACCAACCAGC